TCAGGATTGGATGCTGTATTTTGTAATGCTTTCTCTGCATCTATTGAGATGATCATATGGTTCTTGTTTTTTCTCTTGTTGATGTGATCTATCACCTTGATTGTTTTACGAGTGTTGAACTAACCTTGCATCCCAGGGATAAATCCCGCTTGGTCATGGTGAATAGTCTTCTTAATGTACTGTCAGATCCTATTGGCTAGTACCTTGTTAACAATTTTTGCATCCATGTTCATCAGGGATATTGGTCTATCATTCTCCTTTTTGGTGGGGTCTTTGTCTGGTTTTGGAGTTAAGGTGATGCTGGCCTCATACAATGAGTTTGGAAGTACTCCATCTCTTTCTATCTTTCCAAACAGCTTTAGTAGAATAGGTATGGTTTCTTCTTTAAATGTTTGATAGAATTCTCATGAAAAGCCATCTGGCCCTGGACTTTTGTGTCTCGGGAAGTTTTTGATGACTGCTTCAATTTCCTCACTGGTTATTGGCCTATTCAGGTTTTCTATTTCTTCCTGTTCCAGTTTTGGTAATTTGTGGTTTTCAGAAATGCATCCATTTCTTCTAGATTGCTTAATTTGTTGGCAAATAGCTGCTTTATAATACATTTTTTAAAATTGTATTTCCTTGGTATTGGTTGTGATCTCTTTCATTTATGATTCTATTAATTTGAGTCTTTTTCTTTTTAGTAACGCTGCTAGTGGTTTATTATATCTTATTAATCCTTTCAAAGAACCAACTCCTGGTTTTGTCAATCTGTTCTACAGTTCTTCTGGTCTCTATTTCATTGAGTTCTGCTCGAATCTTTATTATCTCCCTTATTCTGCCTGGTGTAGGTTTTACTTGCTGTTCTCTCTCCAATTCCTTTAGGTGCAAGGTTAGCTTGTGTATTTTTTTCCAGTTTTTTGAGGAAGGCTTGTATTGTGATGTATTTCCCTCTTAGGATTGCTTTTGCTGTATCCCAAAGATTTTGAACGGTTGTATCTTCATTTTCATTAGTTTCCATGAATCTTTTTAATTCTCTGATTTCCTGGTTGACCCATTCATCTGTTAGTAGGATCGTCTTGAACCTTCATGTGTTTGAGTTTCTTCCAAATTTCTTCTTGTGATTGAGTTCTAGTTTGAAAGCCTTGTGGTCTGAAAATATTCAGGGGACAATCCCAATCTTTTGGTATCGGTTGAGACCTGATTTGTGACCCAGTATGTGGTCTGTTCTGGAGAAAGTTCCATGTGCACTAGAGAGGAATGTATAGCAACTCTAAATCTTACTATTTATAGTAACTCTAAATCGATTATTTTGGGATTTTTCTTTGTAGACAGCCATACCATCTAATATTAGATCAGTTTTGTGTTTTATTCTCTAATATGTATGCCTTTTCCTTCTTTTTCTTATCTGATTTCACTGGCTATGCTCTCCAAAGTGGTGGAGCAGGCATCCTTGCATAACTCTCAATCTTAGGGAGAAAGCATTGTCTTTTTCCATTATATATGATATTAGCTGTAGGTGTTTTGGAAGATGCTCTTATTAGGTTGACAAAGGTCCTTTTCTACTTTGCTGAGAGTTTCTGTCACAGGTTGATGTAGAATTGTTAAATGCTTTTGCAGCATCTATTGTGTTGATCACATGATTTTTCTTCTCCAGATTGGTGATGAATTATGGATGAATTATGTTGCCTGAATTGTGAATGTTGAATTAGCCTTTAATTTTCAGGATAAATACCACTTGCTCATAAAGTATTATCCTTTTTATATATTGGTGGGTTTAAATTACTGAAGTTTTATTGAAAATGTTTGTATCTATGTTCAGGAGGGATATTGGTCTCTATTTTCCTTCTTTTTTTTTAAAAAAAAATATTTTATTTATTTATTCGTGAGAGACACACACAGAGAGAGAGGCAGAGACACAGGCAGAGGCAGAAGCAGGCACCCTTCAGGGAGCCTGATGTGAGACTTGATCCCAGCGCCCCAGGATCACGACCTGAGTCGAAAGTAGATACTCAACCACTGAGACACCCAGGTGCCCCTCTATTTTCATTCTTGTAATACCTTTAATCTTGTTTTCATGTCAGTGTCATGTTTACATCAGTGATTTAGTTGGGAAGCAATCTCTCCTCTTCATTTTTTTCTGAAATATTTGATATAATGATAGAATTCACCACTGAAGCTATCTGGCCTTGGAGTTTTCTTTGTGACAGAGTTTTTTTTTTTTTACTACTAATTCATGTTCTTTAAAAGATATAAGAGGCACTCCTGGGTGGCTTAGTCAGTTAAGCCTCTAACTCTTGATTTCAGCTCAGATCGTGATCTCAGGGTCTGAGATCCACCCCGTGTTTCAGGCTCTACACTCAGTGGGTCTGAGATTCTTTCCCTCCTTCTCCCTCTGCCCCTGCCCCTGCTCATGTGCTGGCTCTCTCTCAGAAATAAATAAATAAATAAATAAATAAATAAATAAATAAATAAATAAATGGAATATTCCTGTTATATAGTTCTTCTAGATTGAGCTTTGGTAATTTGTGTCATTCAATGAATTCATCTGTTTCATCTAAGTTGCTAAACTAAGTGACATAAAGTTATTTGTAATACTCCTTTTTTATGCATTTTAAAAAATGCCCTCTGTTGTCCCTAATATTGAGAATTTGCATCTTCTCTCTTTTTCTTTGCTTGTTTTGTAAGAAGCTTATCCATTTTATTAATTTTATTATAAAACAGGTTTGGTCTCACAGCTTTTTTTTTTCTGTTGATTTTCTGTCTTCAATTTCACTGGATTATTTTGCTCTAGTTTTTCTAGTTTCTTAAGGTGTTGGTTTCAGACTTTTCTCCTTTTCTAATATAGGTATTTTAGTGATATAAATTTCCCTTTAAGTACTTCTTTAGCCGAACCCCACTGATTTTGATATCCTGTGTTTTTATTTTCACCTAGTACAAACAGTTTTCTAATTTCCCTTTTGATTTTTTTCTTCGACCCACAGGCTCTAAGATACCAGTATATTACAAGTGGCTGTCTCCTGCAGGAATTGATGTCATGTTTTTCATATATATACATTGACGTTATTATTTTATTCTTTTTGGAACTTTGTGAATGTATTCCAGTTTTCTACATTAAGTACGCATCACTTTTCTAAAAAGAAAATAACCAGTTAACATAAAATAATGCTCTGCGTTTTGTAGTACTTTATAATTTACAGAGAGTTTCACTTAATCCTGCAATCTCTGCTTGAGAAACAGATAATCTATATTCCACAGATGTTGAAAACTGAGATTGACAGTTTATTTTTTATTTTGTATTTTAAAATTTTATTGTTTCCTGGGAGGGAGAGGAGAGGAGAGCGGGGAGTGGCAGAGGAAGAAAGAGAGAGAATATCAAGCAGACTCTGCACTGAGTGCAGACCCTGGCACGGGGCTCAATCTCATGACCCTGAGATAATGACCTGAGCCAAAATCAGGAGTTGGATGCTTAACTGACCAAGACACCCACGCACCCCTATTTTTAACTTTTTTTGAGATTGACAGTTTCAATGATTTGCTCAATGCCACACAGCTAGAGCTAGTTAAAATGCAAACCCAGATTTTCTAACAGTTCATCATTCTGAAGAAGTTGAAAATCAAGATTTGAAAAGTAAATTGGAATTTATCTTGTGAGTAGCTGGAAAAAAAAAAAAAAACATTGAGCGTCTTTGAAGCAGTGATTGACCTGAGACAAGGATCTCAGTGTAGTTTTAATCTGCATCTCTCCTTACTAGTGAGGTTGAACATCTTTTATGTTTATTGCCTATTTTCCTTTTTTCTTACCCCAAATTTTTGCTCATGTCCTGGATAAATAGATCATCTTTTTACTGGATTGGTTGGTCCTTAACTTATTAATTTAAATGATCAGAAAAGGTTCCCGATACTAACATTTTATTTGTTGGAAATATCTTCTCCCAATTTCTTGCTTATCTGCCTTTCCTTTATTTTAAGATTTGGATCATCAGAGGAATGGTGTACTGGAGAGTGGGGGAAACTAATGTGTTTGCTACAAGAACAGTCTTGGTTTGCTTTGACCTTGTATGATGGGATGCAGGAGGTAGATGAGGATGGGATGCAAAGGTGAATCATGTGGTTTGGAAATTCATTTACCAGTCATTTGCTAATTGATTACATTTATCAGCCACAGTATGCTAGACCTGCTAGCAGAGAGTGAAGAATAAATGCTGCCTGCTTTTAAGGAACTTTTACTTTAATGGAGAAATAAGACATGAAAAGTAATGCAAGTAACATAGTATGTGCTCAAGTAATTGTAGCACAAGATAAGCTGTGGCTATGAAAATCTCTGTTCATCAAAGAAGAAGGAGGCATTGCTTTTGAGTAAATTGGGAGTTGCTTATATAAGAAAAAGTCTGTAAGTTGGAGGAAAGCAAGGACTATGGGTATTTTTGCTCACCATTTTATCCTCAGCAGTAAGCAGAGTGCCTGATAATCAGTAAGTGTCCAAATATTGTTTAATGATTTAATGATATTAGCATGCATGGGCAAAGCCATTTACAGGAACTTAACATAATGTGTTTAGTTCATTACTCCTACGCCACCTCTGGGCAACTCTGAGAAGGATTGATCAGCATTTCGGATGTTCGCTTGCATTTCAAAAGCAAAGGAGTACAACTTCTTTCAGGAAGGACACATGACAGGCTCCCTTATCCTACTGTTGTAACAGAGCAGTAACCAAGATCTGTGCTTCACTCGGGCAAAGCTGGGTCTGAATCTCCTGTCAGTTACTTACTGGTTATATGACTCTTGATTTCCCTCATCTATGAAATGATACTAACAGTGCTGCCAACCTTACTGGATCATGGTAGGATCAAATAAGCACAGCACTTAAAAGCCTGAGCCCATAGGAGAGCTTCTGTCAACATTCCCTATGCCTCTGCTCCTGATATACACTAAACCAGGTAGAATGTGTGATTGCCTTTGGGTTTAACGACTTTGTCCATGGTGTCTAACAGTCATATTCTCCATCTCCTTCCTTGCAGATTCAGAGACATATTGTGTGTTTCAAGACAAGAAGTACAGAGTGGGTGAGAGATGGCATCCTTACCTGGAACCTTATGGGTTGGTTTACTGTGTGAACTGCATCTGCTCAGAGGTACAGTGCCATACCCAATTTTGCTCCTCATCATGTATTGGGTACTTCCAATGCCCGGGTTGGCTGGGAAGCAGGCATGGTTAAAGCCTAAGAGGAGTTAGGAAGCAGCTTATAAGGAGAAATATACATCTCCTGACTAATTTTCCCCTTGGTGCCTTTTGGTTGGATTTGTGTGTGTGTGTGTGTGGGGGGAATCTCGAGTATTTTCTAGGGACATATATTTATGGTCTCTTAGGCAGATGATGTGGGACGTGGTGGGAGAATGTAGAATAGTTTTATAGTGGGAATGGGGAAACAAAGACAGACCATTGTAGTGCCTGGATCATAAGACAAAATCGTTTTGAGGATCATTTTCAAGGCTGGCCTTTGGAGAAGAGATTAAGACAGATCATACACTGGTTCATTGGGAGAGAGTGTATTCTATGTTGTTTCAGCCAGTAGGGGTAATTAGGATCGAGGCTGTGAAACCTTGGCCTGTACCTGCTGATGACTAGAGTTCTCTTGGCTTGGCCTTGGCCCCTGGCCAGTCATTCAGAGGGGCGTTTGGACACCTTAAATGCCATCTTTGCAATAAGCAATGCAGGAAGTCTCGTCTTCTTTCCATGGCCTTGACTCAGGACCATAGCTACAGTCCATCTTTCTCAAGAAGCCCCCTACCATCTTACCCTAGGCCAGGGTTTCTCAGCCTCTGGACTAGTGACATTCAGGGACAGATCATTCCTTTTTGGTAGTGGGGATGGGGGGTTGTCCCGTACATTGTAGGAAGTTTAGCAGCACACTTGGCCTCTACCCACTAGATGCCAATAGCACTGATCCTGGTTGTGACAACCTAGAATGTTCTGAGACAGGGCCAAAGTGGCTTGGGGATCAAAATGACCCCTGGTGGAAAACCAAGTAGGTAAGGCCTTGAGAATGGAGGACTCTGAGCGTATGAAAAGAGTTTTTAGTACTGGCCTCTCACTTGAGACCTTGTGGAATTCCAAACTATAACTCCTCCTTAGTGCCCAGGTAGAACAGAAGCAGTCACTTGCAAGCCAGATTTCTTTTGCCATTTACACAGAAAATTGGGCTCTGGAGTAAAGACAGACCATGTTTCCAACCCTGGCTCTGCCACCTGTGAGCCCTGTTACCTCGGACAAGTTACCTAAACTCTCTAAGTTCCCTTCAGCTTCTTTTTCTTCAAAACGGGATAATGATACTGTGTATTTCATATGACTGTGGTAAGGATTAAATTCACTAATACAATTCAGCTACTTGAAAATGGGCTTGGTCAGAGTCAACATTTAAGAGATGTTAACTGCTGTCAGTGTCATCATCCTCACTATCATTATGGCTATTATTTTTATTAATCTGTTAACTCTAGAGCAGAATTCAGTTTAAAGCCTTAAGGAGGCATTGGTGTAGGCCCCAGCCAGGAGTGGTTTCTGATGTGCTTTGTTGATTTCACTTGAAGATGATACTACTTGGCTCTGATGAGAGTGGAACATAAGGAGGCTCTGTGGTGTTTCCAAATGCAACAATCCAAAAAACGTGTTCTAGGAAGTCCATGAGAAAAGAAAGAGGTTTAGGGTATGGTAATTCAGATTTGTATAAAAGAAGCCTGCCTCTTTAAATGGTAGTAAATAGAGCATCTGGAGGCTGATTAGCTGCCTGGTATTACATGATTGTGTCAGATTCTTGACCCAACATGTTGGAAATGGACAGCTAACCCTTGGGGGCTGAGCTTTGCTGTCTGCAGGGCTGTGAAAATGTTAATATGATCCCAGAGCTGACAGCTCAAGTGCTAGGCATCTTCTCTTTCCCTATCCTCTTTGTCACCCTCTTCCCCCACAAGCACATGATAGATGTAAGTCACCCTTGTTTGGAATGAATTATGGATGGAAATGCTAATGATAAATTTATTTCCAAAGGTTTCCTTTGATCTAGCAATGGTTGAGAGCTGTCAGAGCTGGGGATCTTGTAATTGTAAATCAGGCAGGGACCCAGTCAGTCACCCCGCCCAGGCATACTAGGTAATCAACCCAATTCCAAACCCTAACCTGTTCTCAGAAAGCTTATGACTGAAATGGAAAATGAGGAGAGAAGGCAGCCCAGCCTGCTGGACCAAGGCAGAGTTATATGGAATCCAGGACTCATGTGCCAGTGATGTCTCCTTGCCCAGGGGTGGCTAGCAGCTCAGAGGACCCACCACTCATTGTCCCTTCCTTCCCATGGCATCAGGCAGGTGATTGTGTAATTAGACTAGGCTCCTGTCAATGTGCAGCTGGACCAGGAAATGGTGAAAACACTACATAAGCAGGCCAGGAGGTGCCTGCCACAATTGGTGAGAGGATTTGATAACTGGAGCAAGAGTGACCCCAGCTTTAGAAAAATATGCCAGTAAACTATCAACCAACCCAGCAGAGGGACTAGTGATGCGAAAAGGGAAGAAAATGCTGATTTCATTCAGCTTTTTGGGAGTGCATCATTCATTGTCTGGGTGAGTCCCTGCATGACTATTTCCCAAATGGGCATGAGCACAGGTGACCTGTGAAAGACCTTAACGTTTTTTTTCATGGTTTGCCCCTTCTCTTCCAGAATGGGAATGTACTCTGTAGCCGAGTCAGATGTCCAAGCCTTCATTGCCTGTCCCCCGTGCATATTCCTCATCTGTGCTGCCCACGCTGCCCAGGTAAACTGGATTTCCTCTTTCTTTCCCAGCTGTGGTTCTCCTTCCTCCTACTTCCACCCAACCCACTCCATCTGCCTAATTCCCCAGAAGGGAAACTTCCAGACAGAAATTACAATAGGACACTTTTAGGCAGCCTGCGCTGGCCCCTAAATACTGTTTATAGCCCAAGTGGGGCATATTCTAGGCTCTAATAAGTTATTGGTCACCCAGTAACAGATTTTCATTGGGCTTTTAATCATTTGAAGGTGGATGTCAGTTGGGGGAAGGGAATTGTGGCCCAGAGAGTCTGTGCCATAAACAGCCTCTTCCTGCCATAGGCAGCGGGCACCAGGGGAGTTGTAGCATGGTGGCACGTGTCTTAAGCAATTAGTACTGGGATTGCATAAATCAAAGGAGTTGAACCAGTAAGGTTTATGACAGTATAAAGCTGCTTGCCCGCTGAATAGTCACCTCCTCCAGACTTCACAGTTATTATGTACACATTGTTAAGAGCAAATCCCAGGGGAAGGCAGGCAGAGACTTTTTCACAAGGCTGTTAGGACATCTACTTTGATGGTTTGTGGCTAGGGTGTGTGTCTGAGGCAGGGGCTCCCTCAATGACACTTTGTTCACGTCTGACTGGGGCCTGGCTCCCACACCAGAGGCATGCAAGCGTGGAATGATTAAGAGAATGTCTGAGGGCTGGACCGTGGTCCTAGGAAAGGCTAAGTGACAGCCTCAGGATCTGGGTAGTAGAAGCCTTATACTCCTGTAAGTTGATCTTGTTTCTCTCTAGGATGAAGATTCTTGAGCTGAAGTCTGTGGGTGGATTTTATGGGGTCAGTGAACCCTTTAAAATTGTTTTGTTTTTGGTGTAACTATGTATACATGTAAATTCCTTTAGAGAAGTTCCATAGCTTTATCGGTATTTGTTAAGGGGGTGTACATGACCCTAAAAGCATGAAGAACCACTAGTCTGGGGCATTGGTGGTTCTTTTTTAAGTAGTAGGGAACCTCCAGAACTTAGAGAAATGAAAAGTGTCCAGGTAGCAATGATAGGAATGGGGCCAGGAATAAAATTCAGTGAAAATTTGGCTAACATTTCAGTTACAGAAATGGAGGTGTTTATTTTTTTATTTTTTAAGTATTTTATTTATTCATGAGAGACACAGAGAGAGAGGCAAAGATATAGGCAGAAGGAGAAGCAGGCTTCCTGTGGGGAGCCAGATGCAGGACTTGATCCCAGGACCCCAGAATCATGAGCTGAGCCAAAAGCAGATGCTCAACCACTTGAGCCACCCCGGCATCCCAGGGAATGGAGGTGTTTAATGGAGAAGAAGCCCCCAAACCATTTTGGTCACTACCTTTGTGAAGTATACTTTTCTGCATCAAGAAATACACTCTGCTGAACACAGGGGGTTCTTTTTCCCAGCTGGCAAAAGATCATGCCATGTCACATTTATCATTCTGAATATTGGTGATGATAGTATATGCTTTAAGATGTAAGAGACTGATTTGGCATAAGATCTACCTGAAAGTTGGCTTTTGGAATAAATCCCCAAATAAGGCTTACTATTTTTATATGTGTTTCTTTGTTTCTTCTAATTAAACTGGATTATGGGGATTCCCCGGGTGGCTCAGCGGTTGAGCGTCTGCCTTTGGCTCAGGGCATGATCCCAGGCTGGGGATCGAGTCCCGCATTGGGCCTCCTGTGAGGAGCCTGCTTCTCCCTCTGCCTTTGTCTCTGCCTCTCTCATGAATAAATAAATAAAATCTTAAAAAAAATAAACGGGATTATGAAGGAAGGATTTGGTAGATGGAGCGAAATTTCTGATTAAAAAGGCCAATCTGGAAATTTTTTTCTACCTTTTTTTCCCCCAGAAGTCACCAAAAGTGCTATAATGCCATAGAAATTTATCTAAACTATGAAGATATTGTTCTTTCCTGGGAAGGAAGTGACCCAGATGCGAATCACAGGGTAGAAGAGCATACAGTGCATTATGGGTATCACCTACCCCAGCTACAGAATAGGAAGCAAATTTTAAGAAAAAGGAAAAGTATAAGCCAGCAGGTTTTCTGAGTGAAGAAGAAAGCGTTAAAGGAATTGAGGTCATAAATAGCAGAAAAAAGAGAGTTGCCTTTAAGACTTAAATAAAGCCAAGTTTGTGAACTATAGAAAGGAGGTGTTCATTTTCTTTTCGTTCTTGTCCTTGCAGGTCATGTCCTTGTGAATTCACTTTCCTTCTTGTTAACTCTATAACCTTTACCAGTTCCTTCTTTGAGCAGTGGTACCAAGGTTCCTTAATCCTTAATATGCAAAAATGTCTTTTTTGCCCTCATCCTTGAGTGATAATTTGGCTGGGTATAAAATTATAGGTGCATGCTTGTTTTCCCTTAGCATTTTGAAGATACTAACAAATGGTCTGTTGACTTCCTCCATTTGTGGATAAGAATTCTGCTGTTTGATTGTAGTTCTTTTGTAGGTAACTCATTTTCTCCTTCTTCTAGCTTTTACGATTTCCTCTTTTTCTTTGGTGTACACGATGAGGTGTACAGACATGTCATTTATTTTTATGCCTGTTCAGTACATAATTTTTTCAGCTAAAGGACACAAATTTCTTTTCAATTTTTACTCACTGGTTTTCTGAAAATTACATCTTACCTTTTTTTTTTCTCATTTTCAAAGTTGCCTTTGGCATATATTTTTGCAGCTCATTTAACTTATCCTCTGTGTGTGTCTCTCTCTCTCTTTTTAAAAAATGTATTTATTTTAGAAAGAGAGAGACCATTGCAGGGAGGGGGAGAGGAAGAGGGAAACTTAAGCAGACTCTGAGCCTCATGAGCATGGGGCTCAATGTTATGACCCTGAGATCATGACCTGAGCTGAAACCAAGCATTGGAAACCTAACTATACCACCAAGATGTCCCTATCCTCTGTGTCTCTTAATGTGTCCTTTATTTTTTTTTTCATCCTGGTACACTCCCCATAATGAAGTAATTCTTCAGTTCTGTCCTCCAATTCATGAATTCTTTCTCAAGCCTTTTCATGCCTACTTTTTAGGCAGTCTGGTTCTGTTTGTTCTTTTATTTTCAATAACTGTATTCCCCCCACACACGTTTTTGGATTACATTTTAAAATATCACATATTGCTATTTAATAGACCCATGTTAGTATTTCTTGGGATCTTATTTTCTTTATTTCTTAAAGGTATTTAACTATCTAATTAGAGTCCATTTTAGATTGTTTCAATGTGTTTTTTCAGGTGTAAATTCTCACTCTAACTGGGTTTCTTGACTTTCCTGGGTTTCTTTTCTTAGTTCTAAGTTTCTCCTTGCTTTCTAAAATCTTTGTTCAAAAGCTCATTGTCTGTGTGTAGAGGGATGGTTTCCCTTGCATATGTCCTTCCTTTCTGGTGGGAAGGTTATTCTAGGCCATGTAGTTCACTTAGCTCTGAATTAGGTCATATATTAGTGTCTTAGCTTGGGCTCCTTCATACCTGGATGGTCTATTTCTACCTCTATTTTCTTTTCTTTTTTTAATATTTTATTTATTTATTAATGAGAGACCCGGTGAGGCAGAGACATAGTCAGAGGGAGAAGCAGGCTCCCTTTGGGGAGCCCGATCAGGACTTGATCTCAGGACCCCAGGATCATGACCTGAGCTGAAGGCAGACACTCAACCACTGAGCCACCCAGGTGCCCCTCTATCTCTATTTTCTTATACAGTGCTAGTCCCTGATGATGATCTTAGACTGGGACCTCAGCTGCAGCTGCGTACCTTGGACAAGTAGTCCATTTGAAGGGGCTACTCAGGTGGGAAGAGCTATGTCAGCCCCTGGTTACATGTGAGGAGTGTGTCCCTCATCCCCATCTTTACATGAGAAGCCACTTGGAGGCCATAGTTCTTGCCTGGCCTTCTGGCCCAACTGTCTGTATCCAGTCCCAGGCGCCAGTGGCCCATATGATTTTGGCCCTCCGTTCTTTGCTCTGCTTTTCCTTCTGTGTTTTATTCCACAAGGAATCTTCTTTTGTTTCTGAGCATGATTTTGCAGTTTTATTCATTCATTTTTTAATTTACTCACCCTTTTAATTACTTACTTTTTTATATAACTGTAAGTTTTACATTTTATCCCTCACTCTTTGGTGAGAAAAGAGCAGGGCATTCTCTCCTGTGTTTAGCCTGCCATATTGACCTGGAATGCAAACTGGCTATTCTTTCTGTTGAAGATCAAACAAGAGTAAACAGGTTTAAACCTTAAACCATAGCAGAGAAGAGTGGAGTTTGGTAAGAGGATGAACTGTGGGACACAGTAGCTGTTAAATCCTAGTATAAATGTCTAAAGAGAATTTTAGTCTCTGTACAGGCATATTTCCGTAAGGAAAAAGATGCCCACCCATCTGAGATAGAGTTGTCACAATTCTGCTTTGAGACAGGGCAAGGGCTGTGATGACTCCTCTGTACTCCTTCCACCCCAGTGGTTATTAGGCATGAGGAAACTCATGCCTTCAGGGCCACAGGAATGTTTGGTCAAAGGAGGGGGCTCCAATTTTCTGTCTTAACCCAAAGGGGAAGGCACTGTGATGAAAATGTCCTCATTTAACAATAGGAGCTTTATAGCCAGAATGATGAGTGAGTCCTGTATTAAAAAGAGAAGATAAGCAAGGAAGCCATATACCCAAGGTTTGGGCTCTACACACTGTCGGATAGCAGTGTGGACTTCAGGGAGCATTTATATGGACAGAGATGGATTCCGTAGGAGGATCCTGCTGGACATGTCTAGAGCTCATCTTCCACTGAAGGAGACAGAGGAACCAGCACCCCCCATTTGTTTCTATGTTTCTCCTGGTTCTTGCTCTCTAAACTCTGTACCCTAGACATTTCCAAGGTTCCCACTTGCATTCGAGGTTGTCTCCTGCAGCTCCTGCTGAACTGTGGGAATCAAAGTTTGCAGACTGCTTTTCCAGAATTCCCAGAGAGAAATCCACACTGATCCCCATTAAGAGAAAATGAAAATTTTTTC